CCCATCCCTCTGGTGTATCGACAACACCACACAGCTTGGTATCGTCCGCAAACTTGCTGATGGTGCCTTTAATCTCCCTGTCTATATCATTGATAAAAATGTTAAACAGCACCGGCCCCAGCACGGACCCTTGAGGAACACCACTTGTGACTGGTTTCCATCTGGACTTTGAGCCATTGAGTACCACCCTCTGGATGCGACCATCCAGCCAGTTCCTTATCCACTGAACAGTCCACCCATCAAATCCGTACCCCTCCAATTTGGCAATCAGGATGTTGTGGGGGACCGTGTCCAAGGCCTTACAGAAATCCAGATAGATCCCATCCATAGGTTGCCCCTTGTCTACTGACCAAGTCACTTTATCATAGAAGGCCACTAGGTTAGTCAGGCAGGACCTGCCCCTAGTAAAGCCATGTTGGGTGTCCTGGATCACCTCCCTGTCCTTCATGTGCCCAAGCATGGCATCTAGGAGGATCTGTTCCATGATCTTCCCAGGCACCTGGGACATGGACCCTGGCAGTGAACTCCCAGCCCAAAGCAGGGAAGGTGCTGGCTGTTCACCCAGCGACTGCCACACTCTCCTGCAGTCGGGTAATAACTCCTAACTCCGGCCCTGGGATAAATCCTGGTAGAGCAAGATCCTGCTCTCCCCAGTCACAGCGTTAATTTCGGGGTTACAGCCTCGCAGGAGCAGGGTCTTACCTGTTAAATCCTCTGCTCTCAAGCTCCCTGAGCGGTTTAGAGTAAAGCTGGTCTTAGCAGCGAGCTTCCCTCCCAGCACCGCCTCGTGGGACACCACCTTCTTGTTACTCGTCTCTGCAGCGAGAAGAGGGAAGAAACAAAACGAGACAGACATCAGGTACCCAGCTGAGAAAGAGCAAGAGACTCCAGTCCTAGAATTTGGGCCACCAAACATGGGCAAAAGGAGAACTGCTTTTACCCTCTGGAATTCTTACTCTGCTTTCTTACTTGGAAAACATGGGCAAAAGGAGAACTGCTTTTACCATCTGGAATTCTTACTCTGTTTTCTTACTTGGAAATTCCAAGTAGAGAATACTCTGCTTGGAATTCTTACTCAGAGCTTTCTGTTTGCACTTTCAGCCCACAGCAACTAGTTTTTTTAAGGGCAGCAAGGACATTTTTACAGTTCCCCTGGCAACTCTGGGAGCTCTACCTGCTCACCCTGCACTGCAAACCCTCCTCCTCACCAAAAGCACAGAAGGACCAAGCACAGAAGCAACTCGACCCAGTCGAGTGCCACGTGCCAGGATCACCCACCCGCAGCGAGCAGCTGTTCAGCTCCCCCACAAAACCTTTCCACTTCCCTCAGAAAGGAGCCTCAGAGCTCTACAACACGCTCAGTACATCAGATAATGGTAGAAAGGTGCTTTTTACTAATCATTAACTGGCAGCCCTCTCCTAAAGGCCAGCCTCCCAAGTTCAGCCGCTCTGACTAATGGCCATGAAGGTAATGAAGACAGAGGGGAGAAAAGGGAAGAGACCAGGAAAAAAAAAAAAAAATAAATTCACAGGAACAGCACAAATTGATTGTTTAATGTACCCTCTCGAGAGCCAATAATGAAATGTCTTAACCCTCTTCGTTTCTCTCTTGAAGCTTAATGTGTGTAACAGATTTCTGCGGTGATGGACGAGTCTATCACTTTGAAGGCATCATGTGAAAGTTACTCCATTAGCGGGGCTTTTCATTTTAAAGAACTTGTGCTTAAAAAAAAAAAAAAATAAAATCCATGTGGCATTATCTCCATTTAGGTTCGGGCAGCCAACAAAGCATTGCAGGACTTGCCTCTTGAAGGCCCATTAAAGCTTGCCAGACTATAAAAAGCTAACTGGAGTTGTTTGCCTTTCAGCATAATGCTTCTGAGAAATGGGTCTGGGCTTTTCAACAAGTTCCTCTCCATGGCTTCTAATCCAAGCAGGGCTCCGATTATTGAACCCCAAACGCGGTACGTACTGGTCGTACTGGTCGGGGAATTGGGCACGAGGCTTCGGAGCTTCTTTAAGGTGTTCACTGCCACGTTCAGGTAGATGTTGCGACTGGTGCTACGTTCATAAGCCACCTTCTCTTCTGACAGAGCCTGCAAACAAGGCGAGTCATTACTACATAACTCTCTTTTCCACTTCTGCTTTGGGAGAAAAGAAATGTTTGGCTCTTATAAGTACAGAATCCAAGTGTGATAGCAAAAAAAACCAAATTGCCTGTCAAGGAATTTATTAATTAAGTGGAACGTGGCACAAATTTATACTGGTTCTGGGGCCTGCTTAGGAGAGCAAGAGAAAAAAATATTTGCATTTTAAACCAAGTGCTGGAAGAAGCATTTTCATGTGAAACCTCCCCTGACAGATTAACAAAGGAGTTCTGGAGCTGCCTGGACCAGGCTGTTTTCCTCACTTCGGTGGCAGCACAAGATCTTAAGGGAAGTTTGGCAAAGAGTCACTCCTTGGGTGCAACAGCAACATTCCCCTTTGGGAGCTGTGAAGGTGAAATTCCACAAAAGAAACCCTTCTGGCGTCTGTTTTGGTTACAAAACACACCACCCAACGTCCTGTATTTACCCAACTAACATTAATGGCCTGAGTTTTCCAACAAAACATATAACTTTCTCAACTCTGCATTTGGAAATCCTACTTCACTATTTCCTACCAAGCTCCTTAAAAGCCTCGTAGTTTGCAAGCAGCAAGTTTTACCAGTAATACCTCTCTCAAACCCTTACCTGTGCTCAGCATTTACATTCCAGGAGGTGTTTGCTGCTGAGCAAAAGGCCCTTTTGTCCAGCTTCACCATAACACACGCTCCCCTAAATCCCTCTCCTGGGGTCATGGAAAAGACAGTGTGAGGTTCCCAAATATAGGAAAAGATGGGATTTCCTACTGGAAACCCCCACTGGAATTACACCTTCTGTTCTCCAGCCAGAATTGTATGTGGATAAGAGAGTTTTCTGGGTTTCCTACAATTTTAGGAGGTCTCAGCCACTTTATTCTCTGCTGCAGACTCTATTCATAAGAAGCAAACACCGGTACAGACCTTGTCAAACGCTTCCTGGGAGGAGGAGCAGAATTTCAGGCACTCATCAATGAAGAGGTTGAGATATCTTTGACGAATATTTGTTGGGACTTTAGCACCAAATTCTGTGGGAATAACAGGCCTCTGTAAGCTGGCGCTCTAGGGGTGAGACAGAGAGAGAGAAAGAGGCTATTCAGGGTTCCAGAAGTACGTTGCTTTGAGACTCTTGCATTTCTTGCTGTTATTAATAGTGGTATGACTTCCTTTCTGAAAACCTGCCCACAGCTAAATATAACCTCCATCATTTTTTTTTGGTACTAAAAACACCACTTGAAGCTTTTGTGCCACCTTCAGTATTTGAACTGCTTCAAAAAACAACCGTGTTTCATTATGCAACCGAGGCCTCCCGGGGGCATTAGTCACAACCCCACATTCCCACACACAAACAAACATTCCAGACCACAAAAACGGTGACATCAACATTAAGGGATTCAAGATGAGGATGGTACCGAGCAGCACCACGCATGGAACTGGAGATGTGAGCACACGACACCAGTTGTGCACACACCAGAGGTGAGTTTTCCCAGCACTCTGGCTGTGAAGGGAGAGTGGGTGGCCCACTCCTGCCAGGCTGGTGGCCAACTAAATCATCACATTCATGACATGGGATTCCTGTGACTTTACAGCATCGAGGGGTTTCTTTTTTTTTTTTTTTAATGCCAATCATGAAGCTCCTGTGAAAGGATTTCGCCCTTAAATTGAATGACATCACCTTCACATATAAAAACTGCATGTTGGACTGAGTTACGACTTGCCACTGCAGTTTTCCATTTAACACCAGTTTATCTGCCAAATCAACCCAATTTGCCTCTTTTTCAGGGAAGAAACTGGCACACGACACCAGTTGTGCACACACCAGAGGTGAGTTTTCCCAGCACTCTGGCTGTGAAGGGAGAGTGGGTGGCCCACTCCTGCCAGGCTGGTGGCCAACTAAATCATCACATTCATGACATGGGATTCCTGTGACTTTACAGCATCGAGGGGTTTCTTTTTTTTTTTTTTTAATGCCAATCATGAAGCTCCTGTGAAAGGATTTTGCCCTTAAATTGAATGACATCACCTTCACGCATAAAAACTGCACCTTGGACCGAGTTACGACTTGCCACTGCAGTTTTCCGTTTAACACCAGTTTATCTGCCAAATCAACACAATTTGCCTCTTTTTCGGGGAAGAAACTTACGTTCACCTCTAAAGTTTCATCAGTCTTTCTCCATCCCACCCAAGAAACAGCCATAAACCAAACCATCTGCCACATTCTGTAATAAAAAGAGTTCCACGGGAGATATGGCACATCCAAAGAGGAGCAACTGGTCCTGTCCTACTGGGAAGAGCACTCATTTTCCTCCTGAGACTCCCACTTTGATGCCCTGTTCAAGGGGATTTGGTCCTTTTCATTACATATATATTTCTTCTCAGCTTCTAAGACAATATCCTTAAGCACCTCAGTTAACACTGGTAAATATTTTATCCTTTTCACGCTTCTTTCATTTTTAACCAGCTTCGAGTTATATGTTACCGTGGTGGCTTTTTGGGTGGGGAAGGAAGAAAATGACTTTAAACTCCTCCAAAAATAATCAGAGTACGGATGTTATGTACAGTTATGACATACCTTGACACAAGATATCATCAATAAAGATATCTTTAATCAATTCCTGGCACTAACTACATTCCTTGCCATCCACATGCCGTTACATGAGGAACTCTATTCTGAATTTTCTCAACAAATAACATGTTCTCCCCCGTACTGAGGGGGGAGAGGAACTCACAGCAAAAGCACCCAAAGGCTGGGCAGGTGCCCCAGAAAAAAAAAAATATCAAAAATAGGAGGACATTTTTAACCAGCTTCGAGTTATATGTTACCGTGGTGGCTTTTTGGGTGGGGAAGGAAGAAAATGACTTTAAACTCCTCCAAAAATAATCAGAGTATGGATGTTATGTACAGTTATGACATACCTTGACACAAGATACCATCAATAAAGATATCTTTAACCAAGTCCTGGCACTAAGCACATTCCTTGCCATCCACATGCCGTTACATGAGGAACTCTATTCTGAATTTTCTCAACAAATAACATGTTCCCCCCCGTACTCATGGGGAAAGAAAGAACTTCTTTGCTGAGGAACTCACAGCAAAAGCACTCAAAGGTTGGGCAGGTGTCCCAGAAAAAAAAAATTAAAAATAGGAGGAAAAAAATATTTGTTTTTTCCTCAAATATTAACAGCAGCATAAAGTTTAAATGATCACATTTTAACTATATAGGTCACTGTGGGACGTTGTCCATAAACACCTTCCTCAGAGTGGCCCTCAAAGCCTGGGCAGGCCATTAATCCAGCCAAGGCTTCTAAACACCAGGGGCTCTGAGTCCCTGACACAAACAGCTACACGCCAAGGCAGAGAGCACAACAGAGACTCAAACTGAAGATGAGAGATCAATATTCAAAGAGATCAGAGCAGCACTTAAGTATTTCTATCTTTTTAAGCTCCTACCCCTCAAGTGTTTAATTTTTTATACAGAGCTATTGAGGAAAACCACAGGAAGAAACAAACCCATTTAATCAACCTAATCAAAACATGGCTCTTCAGAGAGCGCCGCGTTTGGGGCAGGGTTAAACATCCCGCCCTCAACGGGGACCAGCCAGGAAGATTCCCAGTTTCTCTTACCTGCAAGGAGGGCACGTGCGCTACCCTTTTCGGCACGATGGTGCTGGTGGTCTTGGAAGCCATCCCAGCTAAGGTGCAAGCCTTCAGAGAAAGGGAGGGGGCTTCAGAGTCATTGGAAGGTGTGACACTCCTGCCAGCAGCCGTCGTCTTACCACTCCCCAGGCCTGCCAGAAACAGGCAACGTTTTTAAGCAGAAATCCTACCACCGGGCTTCAAGTTGCCAGAAGGACCTTAAAATAAAAGGCCCATGCTGCAAGCTGTGATTTTTTTTTCAAATGGAAGCCTCCAAAGGGCTATAAATTGGGCAATTTTACCACCTTCCAGGCAAGGATGAAGGAAGCTTCTGCCAGGAAACGTGCCTCATCTCTGTTTGTTTTGGGGTAACTGAGTCAGCAGAGCTAAAAGAGGGAACCCTGTCAGCAACAACGCACCGACTGCCCCGCGCGTCAGCCCCGAGTCCTCCCAACTACAAAGGGCCACTGGGGAGCCTTAATTAGTACTTCTCCTGTTTGTGCCGCCTCTGAAGGCTTGAATGGAAGAGGGAACGAGGAGCACACATGCCCCAAAGAAGAAAGAGGAAAAAGAACAGGCTGAAGTTGAGTGAGGCTGGGTGAGACGACGGGGGAACGGGGCCATCGCTTTTTGGAACAGCATGGGATTTCTCAGGGGAAGGACATTCCACTGGTCACTATCAGCAAAGATTCGAGTCATGGCCAAGGCTACACATCTCCTGAGAGTTCCACATCTGCTGGGGAGAAGTTCAACCAGAAGGCCAGTATCTTTTAACAGGGGGGAGGAGAGGACAGGGACGGCAAATAACCCCGCTGGCTTACTCTGTTTGGCGGCTGCGGAAAGGGCTGCGTTTGGCACGTGAGCAATCCTCCTCTTTTCTCCTGGCAAAGAAAGAGAGGCCTTTTGAACCAGCTGTGCTGCCTGCTGCTGAGCCAGCTGGATCCTCTGGTAACAGACCTCCTGGGCGGTGGGGGGACGGTACGGCCGGATGACGGGCTTGCTCGGGACCTCCGCCTGCACGGACAAAAAGGTTTTAGAGCCAGCACCTCCCCTGCTCGACCCCCTCCTTCACCCAAGGAAGGTCTCTTTTCCTCACCCCCTCTCTGTCTGCGAGGAGAGGTTTCAGAGAGGAGAAGATCCCAACTGTCTTCCACAACAAAATATTTAGAGTCACCCACCAAAAAACAAGACATTAGGATTTGCCCTCTGGCAAGTTCCTAAATTGGTAGGTGGTATTGGAGCTGCCTGTTTAATGGCACGATGTTCCCCATCACTGTGTCTAACCCAGTTCTGGACCCTGTCAATACTCCCAGTTCTACTGTCTTGCACTAGAAAACCTCTCTGACCCTGTGCTGCCTCAGTTCATACTGCAATGGAAAAGTGACCAAATATTCTCCATCCCCCTTTGCTACACAACGCTGAGTTTTACAGCTCTCTCCCTCCCTCTCTCTCCCAGCACCATCTCCCCTGGCGTTACAGCAGCTCCCCACCTCCCAGCAGCCTTGTGTCAGGTCTCTAGTCCCTGTAACTACTTAAAAGTCTCACATATATGTATTTATGGGATTAGAGCATTACATAAACTCGGAATTTTAAACAGGCTCTGCCTCCTTCTGGAGGCATTTCACTGCCTCAGCCGTTACCGGCACAAACAAGTTACACAGGCATTTTCTTTGATGTCCAAATTTAGGCTGCAGGAAAGGTGCCAGGAATTATGTCAGCAAAGAGAGAAGTTTTCTAGCAGCAGAAGTACAAGAGAAGCAGCAGAACAAACTTCTCCGCGCTACTTAATAACCTTTGAACTCTGAGAAACAATCCTTCCCTGCTGAAACCTCTCAGAGGAGGGTGAGCTCAGCCCGGGTGTAACGTGGCGTTTCCGAGACCGCAAATTGGGGACAAGCTGGCACCTCCTGCATTCCTGCTCTCTGATGCTGACACCGGCTTCTGGATACCAACCCCAGCACAGTCACCCATTACATTTTAATTACAGCCTTCTGAGCAGGACGGGATACTCATTTTCTGCCTCACCTTCAATTCCTTCAGCCCACCATTTCCCCCGGCAACTAAACTAGAATCCAGCTCCAGCCCTTCTGCTTGCCCAGTCCCTGAGCTATAAATCAAGACTGAGCAAATATTCGACTCGGAGGGACAGGGCAAAGCACAAGCCTCAACTCTGCATGTGAAAGCAGCGGTTCAGGTCCCGTGGCCCCTCCTGAGCAGAGCTGGCAGCTCGGAGCTGCTGTACCCCAGGAAAGGCACGTCCCAGCACCGAGCACACCATGGGCTCTGTTTGCCCAGGCACTGGCCGTGCCGGGGCTCGCACCTTTGGAAAGCATTTTGGGATCAGCTGTCACATTAAGAGAACGCATTTAGAGATTTGCCCATGTCTGAAAGGCACCTATTTACAATAAATATTGGAGCTAATGAATTTCCAACCCATTTGCTTCCATCTCTTATCTCTTCACTTTGGAAGAAAGGGCCCTTATCAAAACACACGAACTGGCTGAAGATATGTAGTTAAATAAAACGCACTGTATTGACCTCAGGGCTTCAAGTTATTAAAAGCAAAGAAACCTTTTCTAGGCAGGGAGGAAAGGAAGAACAATTAATTTGGACAACCCAGCTCAAATCAGCTTGTAAGTCTCCCCTCTTATCCTGCTGGAACATAAAACTGACTAATCTGTGCTCAGCACCTGGAGGGAAACACATTAAACCCTCAGAGAAAACATGAATTAAAATCCCAGTGAGAAAGAAATAAAAAGATCCGAATGTCTTCCTTGTCTTTTTTTTTTTTTTTTTTCATTCTCCTCCTCTGCATTTAAAGCATTTTCACAACTGCAGAAGAAGAGTATCAGACAAGATACTGCTGATATATCGGCTGATTGATAACAGATATAAGGTAATGGCTTTAAACATCTGACAAAATTCCCACAGCCATCTCTTAGGTCCACAAGACAAAGAAAAGTACCATCAGACACAGACTGACCTTGTATCCCGCTAATTTTTATCGAAGTGATTGAATGAGGCCATACTCCAGAAAAATGAACACCTCGATCTATCCCAATGAGTTACAAGCTGCAGAATCCATTTATTCTTCCACCACTCACCCTTGGTTTTATCAGAGTTTATTAGAGTTTTGCTGCCATGTCTAACAGATGCCTCACCACGTTTTTCAGACATCAGAAAGGGAAGGAAAGAAATCTGACACAGAGGGATTCCAGTGCAAACAACTCCAACACCACTGCCTGGGCCTGGGACTGCATCATTTTCCAACTTCATAAAAGGACAGAAAATCCTCACTTTAAAGAAACTAAACTTTTGCTTCTAAAAGCTGCACTTACGTTTCCTTGTTTGACAAGATGGGAGATCCTTCTTTTCTGGCCAGGAAACAAAGTAGTTAAATTATCTTCTGTCTTTTCTTCGTTTCCTTCCTCTTTGGATGGCTGGAAAACAAAAGAACAAGCTTCCAAAATTGAATAGACTTGAAGATCCCTCTCAATGAGAAGGTCTGAAAAGTCTCTTTTCAGGTTCACAGAGAGGTGAGGTACCGCAGGTGAGACCAATGTGTGGTCAGCAGCCAAATTACAGAAACAAACCTTATTTTGAACCCAAGAACCACCAACCAAGCCAACAAACGGCAGCATCACGGTTCTGCCCCTCAGGGAGTCACTCCATGAGCTGTGCCCTCGGCAGCGTTGGCTGAGTCAGGGCAACCCCTACCCACCACCTGCACACCCTTCTCCTGCCAGCCCCTCGCACACCTCACCTCCCCTGGCATCCTGAAAATCCAGGAGGTTTGGTTTTGGGGTTGTGTTTTTTTTTTTTGTCCTAAGAAATTGGGAGCTGACTCATTTCTACCCGTGTATAATATGTCGCCAGAGCCAGGTCCCGAAAACCTGCTCCACATCAAACCCTGGTACCCCACTCCCTGCACAGGGAAACGTTTCTCTGAGGTTTTATCCACAGAAAGACCACAGTTAGAAATCCCCAGGTGACACATTTGTATGGCCAGAAACCCAAAGGGACACAAGAGCACCTCTCCAGCTAAAGCTGCCTCTGAGCCAACAACTCAGACCTGCTCCTGGGGCGGGGGGAACCACTTCAAAATCATCTTTGAATTTGACCTGACTGTTTGTTGATACAAAACACGCTTCCTAAGTTTATTTTTCAAACCCCTAACCTGCTTTCCAGCCAATCTTGACTTCAGTTTTCCAGCCCAGCCTCTGGCAAAGCTCTGAGCAGGGATGAGCCTGATGGTCTCTCAGAAATCCAGCAGCTGAGGCTGGAGGCTGGATCTAGGGATGAGCCTCATCCCTCGCTGCCAAGGGATGTTCAAACCACATTCTGAGGACATTCTGAGCCCTTTGCACTGAATCACTTCACTCTCCAGGAACTCAGTAAATCTGATAATTTCATTAAATCCCAAATAAACCCTCTCACAAAGTCATCCTTCCTGGTGGAAGAGTCCTGCCCTGCCCACACCTACCTTCCCACCGGACCAGCACATTTCTGAGCCCAAACCACACGGGTTCCAGCTACAAAATTATTCCATAAAATAAATAAAAAAATCCCGATGACCAGAAAGGCAGCAGGGAAGCGGGCACCTACGTACAAACACCTGTCTCTCAAAGAAGGACCCCTCCACTGAATGCTTGTTCCACCCTTTGCAAAATAGAGGGAAATTAAATTTCAGTGCAGAGAAGGAAGGTAAAGCCTGTGCTGCCGGTGCTGGAATTAACTGTTTGCAGGCCATGGTTCAGCATTTTCCAAATTCAGCCCATTTTGAACCACCCCATATTTGGAAAGCTCTAATGGGATCACAATTTCCCACTATAGATTGTGTGCCCTTAGACTATTTTTCACTTAAGCCGGGCAATTTGAAGAAACAAAGTCAAAATTAAAGTGCTGATCCCTGGCTGAGAATTACACTAAACACAGAAGAAAGAACAGATGAATTTTAAACAAGGAAAATCAAGCTTAACAGCTCAGAAGAAAATCATTACACTCGATTGTTTATATAGTTTCTTCTACCATGGCATTTCACGAGTGGAAAAAAGGTCTTTACTTGTCCCCAACACAGACCCCTCTCCCAACAAATCGGGGACGTTATTGCAACACAGAGTTCAGCAAAAAGCTTTAATAGTCCAGCTACTCTTTTCAAAAGATGAGCTCTTCTCCCCACGCTGCAGATCCCAGCTCACTTTGTCCTCCATGATGAGCTCTTCTCCCCACGCTGCAGATCCCAGCTCATTTTGTCCTCCATGTGCAGATGGTCACGAAGGGAAGAGCTTTGTTCACGGCCACGGCACCCACCCGACAAAAGCCTAAAAGCCAGCACCAGTTTCTGACGCTGTTTTTATAATAAAAGTCCACAAACAAAGGCACAAAGAAATGGCCTTTCCACCAGGCAGTGGTGTGGTTCCTGCTGCACAGGAATCCCACAGGGGTCCTGTGGTGTTTGAAGGGGTCTCACCTGGAATACTATGGAAGCCCTGATGGCCTCCCAGTACCCCCATTACCTTTTGGATGTGGGATAGCTGCAGCTGGAGCCACTCAGTAATTAATTCCTTGGACAGACACTCCTTCCTTGGCATCCCCTGTCCCCCAGCACACAGAGGGCACTGGATTTTGTCACCATGCCCCATTGAGCCTCTCGGGTGACACAGCTGACTCAGAGACCCTGATACCTCTACACTGCTCAGATGTGCCAGATGGATAATGCCAGATACAAGCTTGGAGTGTTTTCTCAACGTTGCCAAATTTGTCACCTTTTTCTTGTTTAAAGCTCTTTCCAATCCAACTCCCTGAAGGCCTGCTCTGTGCACGGGCAAAATCACCCCAACAGGAGACCTGGTGGCGCTGGGACGGGTGCTGAAGGGAGACAATCCTACCCCTGCACAGGCTCCTGGGATAACCAGGGTCTGCTCCTGCTGCCCCGTCAAACTCAGGTGGTGTAAGATAAAGGATGAGGTTTGTCTGCTCCCACGTCCCTGCCTCAGAACCTGCTGGAACATCACTGCCAGCAGCTGCTTTCCAGCCTTTTACACACACGGACTCACAGACTGGTTTGGGTGGGAAGGGAGCATAAAGCCCCCCCAGTGCCACCCCCTGCCCTGGGCAGGGACACCTCCCACCACACCAGGTTGCTCCAAGCCCCCTCCAACCTGCCCTTGAACCCCTCCAGGGATGGGGCAGCCACAGCTTCTCTGGCCAACCTGGGCCAGGCTCTCCCCACCCTCACACCAAACAAGTTCTTCCCCACAGCTCAGCTCCATCTCCCCTCTTGCAGTTTGAGCCACTTGCTCTGTTCTGTTTTAATCTTTGAAAACAAGGGTCTTGCATCCTCTGGGGACCACCTCACAGGCACTCACAAAAGCCTTTTTATGTAAATGCTGTCTTTTAACTTACGCATTCTGAAACTTATTTGGGAGTTGGACTAGATGATTTCCAGAGGTTCCTTCCAACCCCATATCACTCTGTGAAACCCCTTGTACCTTTTGAAGAGATTTTACCCTCCATTTCTTATTTGCATCACCTACAAGGTATCCTCATAAAATACCTGTGAAACAGTCACCTGGGGAGTCTCTGAAGTGTCCAGTGCCAACTACATTGACTTACTGGCACCAACACATTGGCCTGGTTCTACCTGCAACAACGTTCCTTAAACTCCGCTGCCACAAGAAGGTAACACTCAGATTAACAAACTTGCATTAGCTTTGATCACCCACAACACACTCTCTAAAAGCCTTTTCTCCAGCCACCCAGGCCATCATGGTTCTTAGACCAGATAAAGACACCTGAAAGATAGATGTCTTCCAGACAAAAGGTAATTGAACCCTTACATTTCACAGCAGCTTTCAATTCAGCAGGTAAATTCAGGTGCAAACTCTTCAAAGCACTCAGTCATGACAAGAATGAGATTCTTCCAACATCTGGAGTCTCTCTCTGTAGCTCTCTTCAGCTACTTGGAATAAGCAACACCACTAAACTAGACCAGAACCCTTTCGCATTTAAGATGTGGGAGAACCAACCAACCCAAACCAGCATTACCTGTTTCCCCAGCCTTCCCTTGTCTTCAGTTTTCACATCCTTAGATTCGTTAAAAATCCTGAGACACTCTTCCATCGGATCTGACTCAAAGTCCAAGTCTTTCTCGAGGACGGAATAATCGATGTCATCAGATGTTGAGGAAGACGAGGATGACTTTGACAATTTGGAGCGTTTCACTTTCTTTCTCCCTTCGTTGTCGCTCTCAGAGTCTGAACCACAGTCATCTCCATCTGAGTCCGAGCTCACCTCAAGCAACGTGGACGGCAAAGGCCGGACTTTGTCATCATCATCCCCACTCTCATCGCCAAAGAGGTCAACATGACTCAAATTCTGCTGTTTCCGACCCTTCTTTGGGTCTCCTTTTTCTGTAGAACAACCCTTTTCTTTCTTGCGCTCTGGTGCTGGAGCTTTGGTCCCTTTCTCTTTGTTTTTACGACCAGAGCTTTCCTTACCATTTTTCAAGTCACCTGCTTTCAGTTTGGAGTCTTTCTTGCTGCTCCCCAGCTTCTCCGAACCAGAGCCTTTGATGACACCCTCACTCTTGCTTTTCCCTGAACTACTGCTGGAGGACTTGGATTTTTCTTTCTTAAGCCCATCTACTTTTTCTGACTTTTGTTTTTCAGGTTTCTTTGAATTCCCATCAGTTTTTACTTTGACACTTTTATCTTTACAGTTTTTCTCGTCATTCTTAGTTTTTAATTTCTCTTCTTTCTTGAGCACTTTATCCTTATCTTTCTCTGTATTTTTACTTTTCTCCTTCTTGCCAACCTCACTGAGGCCAGGGCTTTTACTAACATCTGACTTTTTCCTTTTTGTTTTGTCTTTTGAGTCTCTGTTTTTATTCTCAATTTCCTGGTCGCTCTTACCAGAACCCAATTTTGCTGCTTTTGCATTCTTGTCTGATAAGGTTTTGGCAAGACTTTTCTGTGAACCTGGAAGGTCCTCCATGCCATATTGGGCATCTTTAGTATCCTGGGAAGCAAAGTCATCCAGGTTGGTGCTCTGCTCTTTGGTGGATAACCCATCATTGGATTCACTTTCAGAACCAGTTTTTGATTGTGAACTAACAGAAGTTGGTTTATAATCTACATCAGCCTCATCTTCAGAGGAGGAGAACCTGGCCTCATAGTCATCAGGATCCTCACAGAACTTCTTTCGTGATGGAGAATAAGATTCCTCATAACTAGAGACCCTGCCCCTTTTAGACCCCTTCGGCTCCTTCGTCGTGGCTTTGCTCAAAAGCCTGGCTGAGTAATTTGAAAGTGGGTCATATTCCAAGTCTGTAGAAGGCTTCGAGTCATCAATCACATATTTATTGTTAGTGACAGTGCTACTGTATTTCTTACTCTGTACCACAGCCTTGGGGACGTATTCCAGCGCGCTACCTTTCGATCGGGAACTATCCAAAGTGTATTTGCTTGACCTGCTAGCAGCAGTGAGAGGAGTGGGGTTGTAGTCTGAGTTATTATTAAAGTTGTAGCTACCTGGATTATATTCTAAGGAGGTAAACGAATCATTTTGTGTCCCAGCAGCTGACACGGGTGCGTTCGAAATGAGCGAGGAGGCCTCTGAAGCACTGAACTCCTTGGTGGTTTCTAGCAGCTCTTCGTACTTTTTTTGTTCTCTCTCCACTTCGTTTTTGACTGCCTCGATGGCCTTGTTGACCAGCTCCAGCTCCAGAATACCGGGCGTCACATCGGTCATGTCAGCCAGAGTGCCATCCTCCACCTCCAGCGAGGGCCTCGGGAGCTCTGGGTTGTAGGGATCATAGCCCCGCTCTGTGAAAGAGAAGGAAAAAATAACTTACTGCCAGCAATTTATGTAAAACTTTCTTTGGAGAAAAAAATTAAAAAGGTTCTTTTCAAGGTCTGATCTCATCAAAACCCAATACTGAAAAACACCACCAAAAGCCAAGCTTTTGGTACCACAGAACAGACTTCGATATCGAAAGCCACCAGTGACATTCTCTGGCGTGTGGCCAGACTACACAGACACTACTCACAGGCCTTAAGAACGAAAGATCTATTAACAAAGTGCATTTATTACTCATGGAAAAGCTCTATAAATTAAATATTCTTCAGGGCACTAAAGAATAATCACTGTATTAAGACCAAGAGGAGCTGAGTGTGTGCAGAATTATCCGCTTAATTCAATGAAGCGAGCAAGGGAGGAAAGAGGATTCTAGTATGAAAACTGTGGATTATGGTCTCATTTATCAATGCCAATGCCCAAAGCCTGCTGAAAACCTCTGATATTCCTCAAAGCCCAGTATTTCTCATGGCAGCCGCAGGAAAACCAGTCTTGTTTGGATGGACAAACTGAGTCCTGCTGATAAGAAGGTCCAAAGGCAACAGAACCCAACCCAACCACCCAGAACAACCACCAAGAGAGGAACATCAAACACCCAGAACTCCAATATGATGTCTCTCCTGTCACACAAGTCCCTTCAGTGGCCTCTCTCACGTGGGCCTTTCTAGGAGTATGATCAGAGGACACGCTTTGACCACACTGTGGGCTCTTCCCACCACAGCTCCCCAGGGCAGCTTTGGGTGAGTGACGGTCACCCAATGGCACTATACAGAAAAGTCAGTGTCCTGTCCAAGGGGAAATCCAACTGGAGAGTCCATTAAAGCTCATTTTGTAACATTCATCTTGAAAAGGACACAGTGAGGTGGTGGAGTCTCCATCTCTGGAGACATTCAAAACCCACTTGGACACGTTCCTGTGGGACCTGCTCTGGGTGGACCTGCTCTGGCAGGGGGTTGGACTAGATGATCTCCAGAGGTCCCTTCCAACCCCATATCATTCTGTGACCTGGCAGCAGTTGTGACAAGCATTAATGCTCTCTAGTTTCTGCCGTGAGATCCCAAATTCTCCCACCCACCTTTCCCACTTATGGGGAAAAGGAATTTCACTGAATTTCACTGTATTTTAGAGTTGGAAGGGACCATAGAGATCATCTAGTCCAACTCCCCTGCTGAAGCAGGATTGCCTAGAGCTACAGCATGTTACTCAGGAGCATCCAGGTGGGTCTTGAAAATCTCCAAGGAAGGGGACTCCACACCCTCCCTGGGCAGCCTCTTCCAGGGCTCTGGCACCCTCACCGTGAAGAAGTTTCTCCTCATATTTGAGTGGAACCTCTTCTGTTCCAACTTGTGCCCGTTGCCCCTTGTCCTCTCACTGGGAACCACTGAAAAGAGTCTGGCTCCCTCCTCCCTCAGCCCGCCCTTGAGATACTTGTCAGCATTAATAAGGTCTCCCCTCAGCCTTCTCTTCTCCAGACTAAAGAGTCCCAGCTCTCTCAGTCTCTCCTCATAAGGGAGATGCTCCAGTCCTTGAATCATCTTTGTTGCCCTTCGCTGGACTCTTTCTAGTAGTTCCCTGTCCCTCTTGAACTGGGGAGCCCAGAACTGGACACAGGATTCCAGTTGTGGCCTCACCAGTGCAGAGCACAGGGGGAGAATGACTTCCCTTGACCTGCTGGCCACACTCTTCCCTATGCAACCCAAGATACCAGGAAGGGAAAAGGACATCATTGACACACGTGTGCAGAATGGCAGCACCCTGCTTGCCAAAGAACAGGCAGGAGAAGAACCTCACATTGAAAAATTAAGACCCAGAGGAACCCAGCAATAAAGATGACTGCATTCGGCTGTTAAGTTAATGGCTGGGGTTTTGACTTTGAAGAGTTTTCAATCCCTGTTTTATCACAGTGTCTCTGGATGCTGCTAATCCAGAGAAACTTTCTGTTCTTTGCTACAAGGACACTAGTAAAACTGGCTTTTCAACATGAATATGCATAAAAACAAAACAGTAAGCAGAAAGATAAAAGATAGGAAAAAAACCACTAAACCCAAGCCAAACTCTCAGGTCTAACAGGGATGAAAAAATTTCTTATAACAGCCAGAAACCAAGAATGTTTACAGAAGTTAATACCATTCTCACAAGACTGAGTTTTAGTTTTTTCTTGCTTGTTTTTCTTGTTTTGCTTTTCTTTTTTTTTTGTGTTGGGTTTGGGTGTTTTTGAGAGAGGCTCTATGAATACACAGTGCCCTTTGGTGACAAGAAAAGAACCTGCCTAGCAGTTGGCAGAAGGAGTCTCCAAGCCAGCAGAATAAAAGAGACTGGGTTAAAATAAAGGCAGCAGTTTCATAAAACACTTTTTTACCCCCTTGGGTTTGCAATGTTTTTTTTTCTAAACCAATTAGCTCCTGATTGAGTAGGGACTCTGGGCAATCACAGCACGATGTCACCATCTTCCAAAGGACAGTCAGAGCCGTGCTCAGGACCAGAAATGTGGGGAAAAAGGAATGAGGTGATATATTTCTATAACTAGCTCCCCCTCCACCTACTGCACAGTGCTTTACAACCAAGACACAAAGAGGATTTCCAAAACTAGTGGCTGCTCTTCCCCATTCCCATGCCCAGCACAGCTCACAGCCTGGGGGAGAAAGGAGGGAGAAGGTGGCAAAACAGAACATCTCCGGTGTCCCTGCCCAGGGCAGGGGGTTGGAACTAGATAATCTTTAAGGTCCCTTCCAACCCAAACCATCCTGTGGTTCTGTGATCTCAGCAGATGGTGTGCACCAGACAGACTGATACCCAGAGCCTAGTTAGAAAAGGAAACCATGAAGAAACGTAACAAAGAAAAAAACAGGAACCAACCCAGATGCAAGCAGCAGCAGCAGCACCAAGGCCAGTATATGTAACAGATTAACAAAGTAATTAGGTATAAATTACCCTAATAACTGATAAAGAACAGAGAGCCCTCCGTGCCCACAACCTCATTTCTCACCACTTTGCAGAACCTCAGCTCCATAGCGGTAGAAAAGACCAGTGCAGTGAGGTCTGGAGGCATCAGCTATTACCCTCCAACTCAGGATGGAGACCTAAAATTTCGCCCAAGCATCATCAGGGGAAGAGCTGAAAACCTGGGAGTTTGTGCAGAGATAAGGATTAGGTGGCCTATAAACAAACAGAGGCGAGAACAGAGAATCTGGATCTAAAGACTTAGCAAAAAAAAAATCAAAAACCACTACCACACCAAAATAAACCAACCCAAACTACACAAAAGACATCTTGTCCACACAGAAAAAGCAATTCTTTTAAATATATCAGGACGCAAGGAAAGTAGACCACCACCTAAGCACAGACCTGGTGGCTGACTCTCTGCTGTTCATCATTAAAGCTAATTTGCACATTTTCTTTCAATGGAATGCCCAGATGTAAAAATACCTTCTAATTGCTGAGAACGCCAAGAGGCTTTGAGATACTGTCGTGAAAGGGCTCTTTTGTAGGTGTGCAGGAGGCCTGATGGATTACCCAAGCGCCGCTGATCAAAGGCTGCCTTCCCCATGAAAGACACTTGTGTAAATGTTCTCCACGATACTCATCAGCACCGTCACCTTTGGCCACGATGCATTTGCAGATAACGCAGTGGAAACACCAGCAGAAGGGGACTTTTTTTTTATCTCTTCAGCTACTTGGAATAAGCAACACCACTAAACTAGACCAGAACCCTTTCGCATTTAAGATGTGGGAGAACCAACCAACCCAAACCAGCATTACCTGTTTCCCCAGCCTTCCCTTGTCTTCAGTTTTCACATCCTTAGATTCGTTAAAAATCCTGAGACACTCTTCCATCGGATCTGACTCAAAGTCCAAGTCTTTCTCGAGGACGGAATAATCGATGTCATCAGATGTTGAGGAAGACGAGGATGACTTTGACAATTTGGAGCGTTTCACTTTCTTTCTCCCTTCGTTGTCGCTCTCAGAGTCTGAACCACAGTCATCTCCATCTGAGTCCGAGCTCACCTCAAGCAACGTGGACGGCAAAGGCCGGACTTTGTCATCATCATCCCCACTCTCATCGCCAAAGAGGTCAACATGACTCAAATTCTGCTGTTTCCGACCCTTCTTTGGGTCTCCTTTTTCTGTAGAACAACCCTTTTCTTTCTTGTGCTCTGGTGCTGGAGCTTTGGTCCCTTTCTCTTTGTTTTTACGACCAGAGCTTTCCTTACCATTTTTCAAGTCACCTGCTTTCAGTTTGGAGTCTTTCTTGCTGCTCCCCAGCTTCTCCGAACCGGAGCCTTTGATGACACCCTCACTCTTGCTTTTCCCTGAACTACTGCTGGAGGACTTGGATTTTTCTTTCTTAAGCCCATCTACTTTTTCTGACTTTTGTTTTTCAGGTTTCTTTGAATTCCCATCAGTTTTTACTTTGACACTTTTATCTTTACAGTTTTTCTCGTCATTCTTAGTTTTTAATTTCTCTTCTTTCTTGAGCACTTTATCCTTATCTTTCTCTGTATTTTTACTTTTCTCCTTCTTGCCAACCTCACTGAGGCCAGGGTTTTTACTAACATCTGACTTTTTCCTTTTTGTTTTGTCTTTTGAGTCTCTGTTTTTATTCTCAATTTCCTGGTCGCTTTTACCAGAACCCAATTTTGCTGCTTTTGCATTCTTGTCTGATAAGGTTTTGGCAAGACTTTTCTGTGAACCTGGAAGGTCCTCCATGCCATATTGGGCATCTTTAGTATCCTGGGAAGCAAAGTCATCCAGGCTGGTGCTCTGCTCTTTGGTGGATAACCCATCATTGGATTCACTTTCAGAACCAGTTTTTGATTGTGAACTAACAGAAGTTGGTTTATAATCTACATCAGCCTCATCTTCAGAGGAGGAGAACCTGGCCTCATAGTCATCAGGATCCTCACAGAACTTCTTTCGTGATGGAGAATAAGATTCCTCATAACTAGAGACCCTGCCCCTTTTAGACCCCTTCGGCTCCTTCGTCGTGGCTTTGCTCAAAAGCCTGGCTGAGTAATTTGAAAGTGGGTCATATTCCAAGTCTGTAGAAGGCTTCGAGTCATCAATCACATATTTATTGTTAGTGACAGTGCTACTGTATTTCTTACTCTGTACCACAGCCTTGGGGACGTATTCCAGCGCGCTACCTTTCGATCGGGAACTATCCAAAGTGTATTTGCTTGACCTGCTAGCAGCAGTGAGAGGAGTGGGGTTGTAGTCTGAGTTATTATTAAAGTTGTAGCTACCTGGATTATATTCTAAGGAGGTAAACGAATCATTTTGTGTCCCAGCAGCTGACACGGGTGCGTTCGAAATGAGCGAGGAGGCCTCTGAAGCACTGAACTCCTTGGTGGTTTCTAGCAGCTCTTCGTACTTTTTCTGTTCTCTCTCCACTTCGTTTTTGACTGCCTCGATGGCCTTGTTGACCAGCTCCAGCTCCAGAATACCGGGCGTCACATCGGTCATGTCAGCCAGAGTGCCATCCTCCACCTCCAGCGAGGGCCTCGGGAGCTCTGGGTTGTAGGGATCATAGCCCCGCTCTGTGAAAGAGAAGGAAAAAATAACTTACTGCCAGCAATTTATGTAAAACTTTCTTTGGAGAAAAAAATTAAAAAGGTTCTTTTCAAGGTCTGATCTCATCAAAACCCAATACTGAAAAACACCACCAAAAGCCAAGCTTTTGGTACCACAGAACAGACTTCGATATCGAAAGCCACCAGTGACATTCTCTGGCGTGTGGCCAGACTACACAGACACTACTCACAGGCCTTAAGAATGAAAGATCTATTAACAAAGTGCATTTATTACTCATGGAAAAGCTCTATAAATTAAATATTCTTCAGGGCACTAAAGAATAATCACTGTATTAAGACCAAGAGGAGCTGAGTGTGTGCAGAATTATCCGCTTAATTCAATGAAGCGAGCAAGGGAGGAAAGAGGATTCTAGTATGAAAACTGTGGATTATGGTCTCATTTATCAATGCCAATGCCCAAAGCCTGCTGAAAACCTCTGATATTCCTCAAAGCCCAGTATTTCTCATGGCAGCCGCAGGAAAACCAGTCTTGTTTGGATGGACAAACTGAGTCCTGCTGATAAGAAGGTCCAAAGGCAACAGAACCCAACCCAACCACCCAGAACAACCACCAAGAGAGGAACATCAAACACCCAGAACTCCAATATGATGTCTCTCCTGTCACACAAGTCCCTTCAGTGGCCTCTCTCACGTGGGCCTTTCTAGGAGTATGATCAGAGGACACGCTTTGACCACACTGTGGGCTCTTCCCACCACAGCTCCCCAGGGCAGCTTTGGGTGAGTGACGGTCACCCAATGGCACTATACAGAAAAGTCAGTGTCCTGTCCAAGGGGAAATCCAACTGGAGAGTCCATTAAAGCTCATTTTGTAACATTCATCTTGAAAAGGACACAGTGAGGTGGTGGAGTCTCCATCTCTGGAGACATTCAAAACCCACTTGGACACGTTCCTGTGGGACCTGCTCTGGGTGGACCTGCTCTGGCAGGGGGTTGGACTAGATGATCTCCAGAGGTCCCTTCCAACCCCATATCATTCTGTGACCTGGCAGCAGTTGTGACAAGCATTAATGCTCTCTAGTTTCTGCCGTGAGATCCCAAATTCTCCCACCCACCTTTCCCACTTATGGGGAAAAGGAATTTCACTGAATTTCACTGTATTTTAGAGTTGGAAGGGACCATAGAGATCATCTAGTCCAACTCCCCTGCTGAAGCAGGATTGCCTAGAGCTACAGCATGTTACTCAGGAGCATCCAGGTGGGTCTTGAAAATCTCCAAGGAAGGGGACTCCACACCCTCCCTGGGCAGCCTCTTCCAGGGCTCTGGCACCCTCACCGTGAAGAAGTTTCTCCTCATATTTGAGTGGAACCTCTTCTGTTCCAACTTGTGCCCGTTGCCCCTTGTCCTCTCACTGGGAACCACTGAAAAGAGTCTGGCTCCCTCCTCCCTCAGCCCGCCCTTGAGATACTTGTCAGCATTAATAAGGTCTCCCCTCAGCCTTCTCTTCTCCAGACTAAAGAGTCCCAGCTCTCTCAGTCTCTCCTCATAAGGGAGATGCTCCAGTCCTTGAATCATCTTTGTTGCCCTTCGCTGGACTCTTTCTAGTAGTTCCCTGTCCCTCTTGAACTGGGGAGCCCAGAACTGGACACAGGATTCCAGTTGTGGCCTCACCAGTGCAGAGCACAGGGGGAGAATGACTTCCCTTGACCTGCTGGCCACACTCTTCCCTATGCAACCCAAGATACCAGGAAGGGAAAAGGACATCATTGACACACGTGTGCAGAATGGCAGCACCCTGCTTGCCAAAGAACAGGCAGGAGAAGAACCTCACATTGAAAAATTAAGACCCAGAGGAACCCAGCAATAAAGATGACTGCATTCGGCTGTTAAGTTAATGGCTGGGGTTTTGACTTTGAAGAGTTTTCAATCCCTGTTTTATCACAGTGTCTCTGGATGCTGCTAATCCAGAGAAACTTTCTGTTCTTTGCTACAAGGACACTAGTAAAACTGGCTTTTCAACATGAATATGCATAAAAACAAAACAGTAAGCAGAAAGATAAAAGATAGGAAAAAAACCACTAAACCCAAGCCAAACTCTCAGGTCTAACAGGGATGAAAAAATTTCTTATAACAGCCAGAAACCAAGAATGTTTACAGAAGTTAATACCATTCTCACAAGACTGAGTTTTAGTTTTTTCTTGCTTGTTTTTCTTGTTTTGCTTTTCTTTTTTTTTTGTGTTGGGTTTGGGTGTTTTTGAGAGAGGCTCTATGAATACACAGTGCCCTTTGGTGACAAGAAAAGAACCTGCCTAGCAGTTGGCAGAAGGAGTCTCCAAGCCAGCAGAATAAAAGAGACTGGGTTAAAATAAAGGCAGCAGTTTCATAAAACACTTTTTTACCCCCTTGGGTTTGCAATGTTTTTTTTTCTAAACCAATTAGCTCCTGATTGAGTAGGGACTCTGGGCAATCACAGCACGATGTCACCATCTTCCAAAGGACAGTCAGAGCCGTGCTCAGGACCAGAAATGTGGGGAAAAAGGAATGAGGTGATATATTTCTATAACTAGCTCCCCCTCCACCTACTGCACAGTGCTTTACAACCAAGACACAAAGAGGATTTCCAAAACTAGTGGCTGCTCTTCCCCATTCCCATGCCCAGCACAGCTCACAGCCTGTGGGAGAAAGGAGGGAGAAGGTGACAAAACAGAACATCTCCGGTGTCCCTGCCCATGGCAGGGGGTTGGAACTAGATGATCTTTAAGGTCCCTTCTAACCCAAACCATTCTGTGGTTCTGTGATCTCAGCAGATGGTGTGCACCAGACAGACTGATACCCAGAGCCTAGTTAGAAAAGGAAACCATGAAGAAACGTAACAAAGAAAAAAACAGGAACCAACCCAGATGCAAGCAGCAGCAGCAGCACCAAGGCCAGTATATGTAACAGATTAACAAAGTAATTAGGTATAAATTACCCTAATAACTGATAAAGAACAGAGAGCCCTCCGTGCCCACAACCTCATTTCTCACCACTTTGCAGAACCTCAGCTCCATAGCGGTAGAAAAGACCAGTGCAGTGAGGTCTGGAGGCATCAGCTATTACCCTCCAACTCAGGATGGAGACCTAAAATTTCGCCCAAGCATCATCAGGGGAAGAGCTGAAAACCTGGGAGTTTGTGCAGAGATAAGGATTAGGTGGCCTATAAACAAACAGAGGCGAGAACAGAGAATCTGGATCTAAAGACTTAGCAAAAAAAAAATCAAAAACCACTACCACACCAAAATAAACCAACCCAAACTACACAAAAGACATCTTGTCCACACAGAAAAAGCAATTCTTTTAAATATATCAGGACGCAAGGAAAGTAGACCACCACCTAAGCACAGACCTGGTGTCTGACTCTCTGCTGTTCATCATTAAAGCTAATTTGCACATTTTCTTTCAATGGAATGCCCAGATGTAAAAATACCTTCTAATTGCTGAGAACACCAAGAGGCTTTGAGATACTGTCGTGAAAGGGCTCTTTTGTAGGTGTGCAGGAGGCCTGATGGATTACCCAAGCGCCGCTGATCAAAGGCTGCCTTCCCCATGAAAGACACTTGTGTAAATGTTCTCCACGATACTCATCAGCACCGTCACCTTTGGCCACGATGCATTTGCAGATAACGCAGTGGAAACACCAGCAGAAGGGGACTTTTTTTTTAATGTATCTACCTCCACACACACACATATACACAACACACATTGTGTGAGCCAGCGCAGGCAGGACGCAGGAACAGCCATAAAACCACGGATGAAATACAAAGGGTAAATAGGAAGGGAAAAGGACATCATTGACACACGTGTGCAGAATGGCAGCACCCTGCTTGCCAAAGAACAGGCAGGAGAAGAACCTCACATTGAAAAATTAAGACCCAGAGGAACCCAGCAATAAAGATGACTGCATTCGGCTGTTAAGTTAATGGCTGGGGTTTTGACTTTGAAGAGTTTTCAATCCCTGTTTTATCACAGTGTCTCTGGATGCTGCTAATCCAGAGAAACTTTCTGTTCTTTGCTACAAGGACACTAGTAAAACTGGCTTTTCAACATGAATATGCATAAAAACAAAACAGTAAGCAGAAAGATAAAAGATAGGAAAAAAACCCACTAAACCCAAGCCAAACTCTCAGGTCTAACAGGGATGAAAAAATTTCTTATAACAGCCAGAAACCAAGAATGTTTACAGAAGTTAATACCATTCTCACAAGACTGAGTTTTAGTTTTTTCTTGCTTGTTTTTCTTGTTTTGCTTTTCTTTTTTTTTTTTTTTATGTTGAATTTCCAGGGCATTTTAAAAATTTTGTGTTTTGTATCAGTGGATCTTGGGTCAGCTTAGAATGATGGACATTTTGCTGATTTTAGGAATGGGTGTAGGAACACCATTTGCCTCATTCCTCCTTTATAAGCACTGATTTACCTGATTATACTTTGCTTTCCTTCCCTCCCCCCCTCCTTTAACCATCCACAATGACCTGGTGTCACAGTCACTGCAATTGCAATTTTTGCATTTGTCAGTGTTTTCCAGCCACTGAACCGCATTCCTTACTGATGTACTTACTCTACACAAGAGTAAAATAGA